GTGAGATAGTTTTTATCATATTTCAGGTAGAATAAATATTTAAATGGGTTTGTTTTACATCATTTTACTCATTTTTAAATATTCCTAAAATATTAAGCAACATTATTATGTTAATGAGAGTTTTCACTGATGAATTCATCAAGAAAAAGGGATTCAATATCATAAATAAACAATAATCAAATTAGTGGGTGTAATTTTAAAATGATAGATAAAAGGATATATATTTTTTTTTCTACATACAACATGTGAAAGCCTGCCCTCATCAACTGCCAACCAGAGGAGGTAACACAGTTTTGGTGGCTAAGGCAGTACTGCCACCCTTGACACCACCAGCAGCTTTTGCTATCAGACAAGTTATTGTTTTTTGTGTAAACATGTCATTATCTGCAATTTTTTATGCAACTGTAAGTCAGATTTTCAATATTGGGTTAAAATTATTTGCTTTTGATTGTTAAAGAAAAGACAACAAGCTTGTAGCAACCACTATCAATGACGTAGAATGGAAGGTAAATTAATGTGTTTCATGTTAGAAGTAGTATTATGTTGCGAGCATAGTTTAATTAGCTTTGTTTATTTTAGATCTTGACCAGATCCAACTCAATGCCTGTTGAGATGTCGTCTGGAGACAATGTGAAGCACTCTTCAGGCACTGGCCAGTGATGCCCACCTTTAAAAGGAAGGAAACGATTGACTGTCCAAGGAATCCACAGCACTCAACCTTAATAGGTAGCACATGGTATGTCCACCACTTTTCCAAAAAGTTATCTCCCTTTAATTTTGATTTTTCAATGAAGTGAACCATTTGATAAAATGATCATTTGATTTAGCACGTTCGGTAAAGCCAGTTTTCAGGCATATGACATTTGCTTTTATGATTGCCTCCCTGTACAAATATGTATGAAATGGTTCAGGAGAAATATGGTTTATAGTTCACAGTTCTAACTTTGACTTTACACCAATTCAAATGGTTTTGCATGTATGTATGTGTGTGAAAAGAGAAAAGGTTTGTTTATGTACATACATTCAGAAGGAGAGAAAGAAATACTGTCAAATAGCAGGTGGTGTTTCTGTCATCTTTGTGTAAGTAACAGGTGTACAGTATTTCTTTGCAGTTACTGCAGTATCAAGTGGGTCTTTTGATATGATTGAATTTACTACTACTACTGACTTTTCAGTTGCTAGCTTATTTTGTTTTTGGAATAAGCACATTCTTGCAAATATATAATATATTTAGTCAGATTTGAAGAAAATGGGCCAGACCGAAAACTATATATCATCCATTTATATATATTCTTGATTAAGTGTTCTTGTAAGTAGCTTAATCCAGAAAATCTTTTCTTTATTCTGTTTAACAAGAGAGTATATCTGAGTAAGCTGTACTTGGAGCAGAAATAATTCTAAGGGAACATGGTTTATAACAGTGATGCCAGTAACAAGTGCCTAGATTTGTATATATAGTTAAATGGCGTTCATGGCTCTCCACAACTTCCTGTTCTTTGTAGCTCTCAATAAAATTTGTCTCTTCCCAATTTGTTTTTCTATATCCCTCATGCATTCAACTATCCTGTGAGTATCAAATTTTCCAAGCCCTCTTTCCTCATTATGTGCTCTAGAAATTTCAACTACCACTTCCTGGTGTTTAGTATAGGTGTCCTTTTTGCTTCCATTATCTTTACACCTTTGTTGCCACTCACATTTTATGTCCATGGTATTCTCAGCATCCTTTTTTAAAAAATTTCTGCTGCTTCAAGTCTCTTCTTTATCTTTAAAGAGATTGTCCAGTATTCATTTCTATATTGGCAGACTGATATTGTGTAACAGTTCAGTAGTCTTTTCTTTGTTTCTAATGAAATTTTTCTGTTTCTTGATACTTTTCTTAGCTTTTAGAAGGCACCTTTTGTTGTCCCAATGCACCTTCGGATTTCAGTATTGCACTTTCTGTCCTCTATTAAAACACTTCCCAGATATTTAAATTGTTGCACTTTTGGTATCTCCAATTTGTAATTTGAATGTTGGGTTGTCCCTTGTGCTAACAACCATCTTCTTTCAATTGATGTTTAGCCTTTTCTTCGCATTTTCCTTCCCTACCTTCTGAAGGAGTTCTAGTAGTTTCATTTCCTCCATCTGTCATCAACACTGCTCGATACTTTGCTAAAAACCTGCATTGAGAAATCAATATATTTAATATAATAACTGTTATATATAACTGTAAATGCTAAAGGCAAAATTTGATGGAATTCACTGTTGTTTGTAGACATTTTTGGCTCAAAATTGTGTTGATGCATTAAAATTGGAAAATAATAATTTCATCTCGATATTTTTTTTTAACTTTTACATGAAAATACTAATAAGGTGTAATAAAAAGTACATGTACCAAATAATGTAAATATATTATTTTAAGAGCTGTCATATAAATGATAGTGTCTATTATTCATACACTAGCATAGTACCCATCAAAAATAAAAAGATTATTTAAATATGGATTATTATTTCCCCCTAAAATCAGAGTATTTGTGCACTCTGCCTAGGTTCAAAAGGTTACATTCAGTCCTCTGCCTTGGAGGAAAGTGTAGTAGCATTATGAAAATGCCACAAAAAGTTTTCTGAATCCCTCTGTCAAGTAACTACAAGGAGTTTCTGATTTTAGTCATAATATTTGTGTGAATTACAAGCACATGACTATAAACTTGAAGTGGGCAAACTACGGGTTGCGAGCCACACCCGACCTGTTGGTCTTTTTAATCCGGCCTGCCAAAGATTGACAAAATTATAACTGCATTCATTTGACCTTGTCCTGTAATGCCTGGCATCCCACTAGGTGGCACATTCACCTTATTTCCAAGCACCATGCAATGGTTGCGCCATGGTCACTGGAGCTGATCGCTCCTACTAATGCCATGTCTCAGCTATTTATGCTAACAACCAGTCAACGCTTGGAACTGATTGATCTCCAGTGTAACACCATCTTAAAAGAGTTCAGCTCTCTTAAACTGGATGAGTTTTATGCTTCATTAAGCACATTCCCACCTCCAAAGACCCAGAAGATGGCACAGAGGATGTGGGTGTTGTTTGGCTCTACTTATGTGTGTATGAACACCAAAAAAGTGTGATGAACACCAAAAAAGCACCCCACAGATCCCAGTTGAGTGATGAACACCTCAGATCTGTTCTGAAACTTGCCACAACAAAACTAACACCAGACATTGATGCACTGACACAAAAGGGTAATCAACAACAGTGTTCCCACTAAAAGTGAATCTAAGTATTCACACTGTAATGCTTTTTTTCTGTTTATGTCTGATATGTATGCACCGGGTGCTAGCCCAGTCTGTCTATCAATTTTTAAAAGTCAATGTGGCCCTTGAGCCAAAAACTTTGCTCATCCCTACTATAAAGTAAAGATTGTCTGTAATAATTGCAATAGAAAATTATGCAAAAATAACCTTTTTGCTCATTGTTTAGAATGTGAAAAGAGAGAAGAGTCAAACTGATAATGAATTATTTTAAAAGAACATATTGAAAATAAAATTAAACTTATTTTTGCAGATTCAAATGTTTGAAATTTACAAATACATTTTTTAATATCAGCCTTTTAATTTACTTCTTCCAAATAAGACCTTTTTGTTTTTTCCTTTTTATTTATCCTATTAAAACCAGAAAGAACACTCAAGACAATATATAAGTATATTAAAAACTAAATGATAGTGTAATGGAATGTCCCACACTCCCTATCGCCAATGTGGATGGACTATATCAGTAGCTATATATAGTGAGCACAGGATATACCTGGGGCTTGCCATGGGAATTACTAGCCTGCTACCCGATTCCCTGTCTTGCAGTAGTGTATTTTCTTCTACAATAAACCTCTCTTCTTTCATCTATGCACGTGTTGCTGTTCCTTTACTTGAGTACCACCTTTGTCTGTTTGTAACCTCTTTAATGATACAACATATATATTGATAATATTTTAAATGGAATGTTTTAAAATCACATGGTACTAATGCTGTGACAATGACCCACAATACTAATGAATGGTTATAAGCAGTTTGGAACATGATACTTCCATTGATTTCTCTTCTTGCTACCAGTATAGCCAGAACCTTTCAAAGTTAAACATTAGATTTCCCTAAAATTGCTTTTGATATACATATATAGTGTTTTCCCAGGGTGGTAGAACAAAGTGAGAAAAAAGGACTAATGATAAAACTGCAAGAAAAAAGAAAGCGTGGTCATCAGCAAGAGAAAAAGTCCAAGATGCATGTTAGGAATTGGAGATATAACGATCAAGCAGGTGCAGAAGTTTAAATAGCTGAGAAGCATTTTAACAGAGGATGGAAAATATGGCACTGAGATCCAAACATGCATTGGACTGATGAAAGACACATTCCAAAAGCTAAACAATCATGGTCCTAAGACACTGTCACTTGGTGGTGGCAGTGCAAGGAAGATAACCCTAGTACAGCTATAAATAATAAACATCACAGACAAAAATTATACTAATACACTTGGTGCATTATATTATGGTAATTTATAAAAGAGATGTGAAATGTGAAGTTGATAACGTTTGACCAGAAGGGAGTGATTTGGACATCAAGAGGTACACAATGACTAACAGAATTAACCAGAAACTGGAAGCGCGACTGTCACAGATGATTAATAGAATCCTTTCATTATATATTGGTACTTTTAATCCCTTCTATCCACACGTCTGTCATAAAGAAAAGCCAGAGGTCTTTTCCAGTCTTTTGGAAATTGTCTATCTGGTAAATGGTTTTACTTATCTATATCCACATAGCAGACATCCATACCCAGTTTTAGGATCAAGAGATCATTTTAGTGGTAAGACGATAAGAATACTTTAATTACTTTCTTGGGAAAGCAGCCATATGCCAATGCTACGTCTATGTTTGGATATCTCTTTGCTTTTTCCCTTTAAATATTGTCTCTTGTGATATTACAACTGCATATATAAGACAAGCTTATATAAACAGACTTACAGTTGAAAATACTGGTTCTCATATGATCACTGAAGTTAAGCAATGTCAGGTCTAGTCAGTACCTAGATAAGTGACCACTTGGGATTACCCAGTGTTGTAAGGTTAGATTTACATCTGGATAAAGGCTCAAAATTGGAAATTGGAGAACTAAGTTCCAATTCCAGTTGGGATTCATTATATTCACTTATGCACAAATACCTTTGGGAAAGGTATGAATCCATCTCCCCCAGCTATAGGTTAATTAATAGGACTTGTATCAGTAAAATTATTATTATCTCCCCAAAATTCTCACAATCTAAAAATATTTTGTGGCTTTAAATAACCTACAAAAGGTTGATAAGCCATAAAAAACAAATCAATCAATCAATCTTATCTAAACAGAACTATTCTTCTATAATATGTAAATACTCAGCAAATGAAGCAACAAGTGATTTCGGATTTACTTTCAAAGTGAGAATACTTTATGGCCAAAGCTTGTTATTTACCAAATTTCTCTCCCATTTGGACTTGCTGTAATAAACTAAGCTTAGTGCCGTGGCCTTGTTAGGGCCAGAAATAAAGACACAAGAGAGGAATTGAGTTAAGCAAATATATTAACAGAAACAGTAATACGAACATATACAAATGAGAGTGTTACAGCAAGAATGTTCAGTCCGACTGTCAGAGCTGACTGCTGGAAACTTCACCCTTCAAAAGGCAGTACCTGCTCCTATTTATAGCTGGGAGAGTCCCCATGCGTGTGTGAGTAAATTACTATAACACTTAGTAAATATCAAGGCTGGAACGCCCTACTAATTTGGGAGACTGCACAATCTTCCTAAATTTCATTTCTCTCCTATTTCGCCTTGTTTTACTAATAAGGTGTAATAAAAAGTACATGTACCAAATAATGTAAATATATTATTTTAAGAGCTGTCATATAAATGATAGTACCTATCAAAAATAAAAAGATTATTTAAATATGGATTATTATTTCCACCTACAATCAGAAATATCAAGGCTGGAAGGTGCTACCAATTTCGAAGACTGGTGTAACACAATCTTCCTAAACTTCATTTTCCCCTATTTGGCCTTGTGCTGTACTAACATAAATATCGCTGGGCACCTGGCATAGCATGATGCCAATCAAGTTAGATTTGTTTACCTGAAAGGTGAGTTTGACCTTCATCACTTATTTGGTCCTGTGACAAACTAATGTAAGTTTATTAAATAGTATATTATTATGACAGTAGTGAGTTCTAGCCTCAATAGATGAACTCTTTTTGTAGTTTTGTGTCATGCTAAGCTTAGTGAATAACTCCATATCACTGGTTAAACTTGCAAGCCAGTTAATTAAACAATGCAACATCCTTTCTGTCTTCCATCAGTATGGCTGATGCTAACCTCCAGGAGAGTGACGTGTTGTACCTTCTCTAGCTAATGTTCTCAGCTAACATGAAATGGAAAGATTATACTGAATTCATGTCAGTTGCTAAGAAAGTTGGTTCACTGTGTCATGCTAGACAATTTTTCTCTCCTGAATCTATCTTACATATTTATAAGTCTACTATTTGCCCATGCTCTGAATAGTGATGCCATATATGGTCCGGTGCTCCTGATATATATCTAGAGATCCTTGATAAAATCCAAAAAAGAATCTGCAATATGATTGGTTCTGATCTGCCATCACAGCTCCAGTCACTTTCCCACTGTTATAAAGTTACCTCTCTTTGCCTTTTCTCTAAATACTTTTATAGTAATTTTTCAGAGGTCTTCACTATGGTACCTAGACTTTATGAATTTAAGTGCAGTACTAGACTGGCAACAAGGTCTCATCTATTTACAGTTGAGTTGGCTAGATGTAGCTAAGTTCTATGCTAACAGTTTCTTTTCTTACACTTCTTGCATGTGGAACTCTCTTCCAGTTCCATGCTTTCCAGTCAACTTTAATCTTCAGACATTTAAATGCAATATTAAATCCAATAAACGCTATCTACTGTCCTACTGATTATTTTTCTTTTGTTTTTTCTTGTTAGCAATGTTTCTGTTTTCTGATTCCTCCACACCCAGTAACTCCTTGTGTCTTAGTGGCTTTACTGCCTTGCTTGGGGTGAACTCAATTAAAAAAAATGACAAACTTGCATAAAATATCATCTTTCATGACTTTAGTAATCAATCAGACATTGGTACAAAAGTCTTTGATACAACGTTTTTTTCACATTGTCAAGAAGACATTCCAAAATCACTTTTCAGAAAAAGCAATTTAAAAACAATTATTGGCTACTCATTCACAAAGGGGAAAAAGTGTCATTGTAGTAAGAAATATGTTTAAAAAATTCAAAATATGTTATAGAAACAAAGACAGTAGACCAACAAGTTGTGAACAGCAGATAATCTTGCAATTATAATTAAAGTCTTGAAAAAACCCCAACTCACTGCACCTTTGTGTCAGTGTCATCTGTTGTACTATCTAGACATTTCCTGTGGAAAGAATGCAAGTGGAAAAACCACCTGCATTTAAATGCACAAGAAAAGAAAATGTAAGACTGAAAAGGAAGGACATTTTTTTTAATGAAAGAAAACTTTCTACATTTGTTATTTCTGTCAAGAAGTAAAATTCAAACAATTTTCAATGGTACCAGTTTTTCAGGAATCTTGCTTTAATTGTTCACCAAGATAATAGGTTATATATATATATATATATATATATATATATATATATATATATATATTATAATATTTTTATTATTTTTGTTTAAAATATGATTCATATTTTTAAACAAAAATCATATTTTTAAACAAAAAAAAAAACAAAAAATATTATAATATAAGCCCTACTTCTGTATGGAGCACTGTCTTCTTAAAAATAAAAACAAAATACTAAGGAACTCCGGATTATGCACCCAATGTGTTTTTTTCTATTTCTGCATAAATGCACACTATATATATATATATATATATATATATATATATATATATATATATATATATATATATATATATATACATTAGGGAAAAATTATGACAACTTGGAAAAAGTTTTTGCGTGATGTGTTTCATCCTTCAAGACTTCATTGAACTAGACTGATGTCTATGTTGATGTTATTACACATGTATATAAAGGAGAAGGGACACTAAGTATTTTAAATTAAATTTTTTTTATTATTTTGGAAATATATGTTTTCGGACTATAGTCTAGCTGATTTCATTTTGTTTCTTGTTCTTTTTGTTTATGTTTCCATCACTTTTATTATAAAACATCCCACATTGTGATAATAGAAGAACTGCCAAGAAGGATTAAATGCTGTACGAACCTGGACACAAATTTTCTGTGGATGATCTTGCAATTAAAGCACTTTCTATACATTTTCTTAGTAAATTGCTTTTCCTTTTAATTAAAGTATGATTTTTTTAAATAAAAATTATGGTCAAATTCATTACAGTGAGCAACTAAAGTACTGAGTGTGTTGTTTTGTAAAATATAACTTTTGTATTCATATAATCTTTTATATAAATTCCTTGAGGTTTCTCCTATGTATTTCAGGTGATAGAGTAAATTCTTCTTTCAAGTTTAATCTTTTTCTTATTTTGTTTTGTGTTAAGTATTTTGTTATTTTAGTAGTTGTAACAAATTTGATGTTAAACTTAGATAAATTCTTTTCAGTTGTTGTGATAGAGTTAGTGAGTAGAACAATATATTTTGATTTAAATTGCTCCTGATATATAAAAATGTATATATCATTTTCCCATATATATATGTGTGTCTGTGCTTATATGTATGTCTGTAAATATAATACATACAGACAAATATTCACACAAATATACCTAATGACTACAAAATGTGTGTTAGATGTTTAAAAGTTTTTTCGCTTAAAAGTGTCATGTTTATTTTATTCAAAGCACAACTGAGTCTTGCAATAATATCTTCTGATATTTTTGCTTTTACTAATTTTACTAATGTTTAACCATTACAAGGCCATAGAGCCATTCAAGCTAGAGGGTTACTGAAGGATATTTTTAAATGAGTTAGAAGAGGTGGTAAGAAGTACAGCTTGTAGGTAGGAAAGTCAATGGTCAACCTTAGACTTGAAGAGGTTAAGAGCCACTCAAGGTAGAAGCTTACTGAAGGAGGTTGGTGGATGAATGGAAGAGGAAAAGGGAAGAAGTGCAGTTTATGAGGATATGTAAGAAAGATAGGTTAAGTGATTGGAGAAGCATCCTCTAGAGATTCTGTTCCACAAAGTAGTGGTTCTTGGTAGGAAGCTGTTTGAGTGGAACTTTTTACTGATGGAATATGAAAGAAATTGGGATGGTTTGTCACATTGCTGGTCTTAGCTTTGAAGGTCAGAACTTTTGGAATTAAAGACTGTAGGTTATCAGAAAATTTTCCATGGGAATAGCAACAGAGTAGCGAGAGGCTTGCAATGTTTCATCTGTGGGAAAGGGGTTATAGGATGGAAAACAATTCATCACCCATAAAGCCATGTAGATGCTTTTGAATACTATCAAGACTGGAAAGTGAGGACTGTCCAGCTCCAAGTCCAACTCAGATATAACAGCAGTACTGCATTTTTGGTCTGATTCCACATATTCAGTTGAAAGTAAAAATAAAATCATCTTTGATAATGAGTAAAAGTATAGCCAAAAACCCTTGGACATACAAAAGCATTTGGACAATTTCTACATAATTTATGTTCAGAACAGAAGAAAATTATAAGAACACAAGAAAAATTAAATAAAAAACTTAACCATAACTTGTCAGCCATTTTAATGAAACTTTTATATATAACAATAATAAAGAAATTAATGGTTTTATATATATATATATATATATATATATATATATATATATATATATATATATATATATATATATATATATATATATATATATATATATATATATATATATATATATATAGGCCATATCACATTAAAAAACACCAGTTCCTGTACAATCACCGAAGTTAAGCAACATTGAGAAGGTCAGTACCTAGATGGGTGACTACTTGGGAATACCAAGTGCTGTTCGTCCTGGGTATGACGATAAACTACATCCAACAGCCAGGCCTTTGATCAGAATGTTTTGAGGTGTGTGGGACCACCTCTTAATTGCTAGTGTTCTCAGGTCCTGTCAGGGTCCCAACTATAGGCAAATAGCTAACCCCACAAAAAAATCATTACCAGCAATAAAAATCTTGTCAGCATTAAATAACCCATTCAGGTTGACATACCATAAAACAAACCAAACCAAACCAAATGGGGTCAAAACACTAGGTATTAAAATAGGTTTTAATACCAACAATATATTTTGGGAAAAAAAAACACAAACCTAGCAATACTTTTTTGAAAAAATATTACCAGCAATAAAAATCTTGTCAGCATTAAATAACCCATTGAGGTTGATATGCCGTAAACCAAACCAATCCAAACCAGGTGTTGTATGTTTGGATGTGCAGGCAATGTAAAGGATAATGTCTCAGAATTGTTAATTGGAGAGCTGAGTTCCAATTCCAGTCAGGTTCGGTATATTCACTTATGCACAAATATGCTTGGGAAAGGAATGAATCCTCCTCTTCTCCTCCCAGATATGGGTTAATTAACAAGACTTGCATAACTAAAATCATTATTATCTTCAAAAAATTCTTACAATCTAAAAAAAGTATTTTCTGGCATTAAATAAGCTGTAAAAGCTTGATAAGCCATAGAAAACAAATCAATCAATCAATGATACAAAAAGTCTCTATATAAAACATCCAAAGAAGAATCTGCAATGTTATTGGCCCTGACATGGCATCTCAGAATCAATCACTTTCCTAACAACAATTTCCCTGTTCCTTTTCTATAAATACTTTCATGGTAATTGTTAGGATTAACTTTTCTCTATGGCATGTAGACTTTATGAATTTAAGCACATTAATAGACTGTTCACGGTCTAAATGTATCAAGTGGCTTCATCCTGTGTACTTTAGCTCTGTTACCATAGCAACAGTCCCACTACTTTTTAATCAGACCTTGTATATAAGATTCCATTTACATTTATTAGAAAATATACATTTTGTCACCAAAAGAAACTTCTTCAGATTAATAAGGGTATACTTATTAATCTGATTAAGTTTCTTTCAGTGACAAAATGCATATTTTCTAATAAATGTAATATTTTAAATGGACAAACAAATTGGCTGGCATGCCTATTGTACAACACCACATGAATAGCCATATAGTCATATTTTTTGTTGACGCAGGCCAGGAATAATCACACACAAAGCAAGGTGGGTCCTGTTTAACAGAGGATTTGTCATAATGATTTGAGGCAAGATTTTACAAGGCCAGATGCTTTACCTGATGACTAACACAGACACTCATGATAGTCCAAGTACACCGAGTGTTTTTATCTAAGCACCATCTCTAATGGGAAAGTTGTTATTCAAGGCTTGAGAGCCTATCTTAGCCTTTTATATATATATATCACACACACACATATATGTGTACATGTGTGTGGGGTCCATTGTCTCTATAAGAAGCTCATCCACCCATTAACAGAGCTTGTTTTACATCTTGTGGGGTGACATGTCACCCTCCTCACTAACAGAAAAGCTAGTTGGGTAGCTGGTTTAGATGCCAGCCACCCATCCAAGTGGTAGGTTGTACTTGGTTAAATGTTACCAGTAGCAGGTCAAAGCCTAACCTGACTAAAAAAGTGTGTTCATTTTTTTAATATTATAAGCATTGATAAATCTCTGACACATAATTACAAGCTTTGATGATAAATGACTAACCTATTGTCATAATCTTTCATAATAAATGCTTCACCTTATATTATAAATATTGATATAATTACTAGAATTGATGATGAATACCTAACTCATTATTTTTGTTGATCAATGTGTAATATGTGACTCACCTCAGATGATGCTAAAATAGACTTGAGAAGTCAGATGTATTTGCAGTTAGACCTGAGAGATAACCTCTGACACATCAAGCTGCACTTCATCCAATGCCAGTGACTGACCCTGACATGTAAACACATAGTCAACCCAATTGTGACTAAGATTTACACATGTGGGAAAAACTGTATGACAAGTAGATATATAAACACCCATTCAGGGAAGAAAAGAATCTTTCACATCCTGGTGAGATGTAGAATTAGTGTTTAGAGTAAACTCCAAAATTGAACCATCACAAAGTCTATTGAATAACATGTGACATAATGTATAAGAGAAAGGGTTTCATATTCTCATTAAATAGTGCAATGATAACATTAAAAATGCCTAACCAAGTATTATAAGCCTTGATAAATGCCTAACACATAATTACAAGTGTTGATAAATGCTAAAAACCATAATTACTAGTCTTCATGATAAATGCCTAACCAATTGTTATAAGTTTTGGTAAATGCCTAACCCATAATTATAAGTGTTGACAAATGCCATAAACCATTATTATGATCTTTGGCAATAAATGCCTATTTATTTTACATGTTGATAAATGCCTAACCCATAATTGTAAGTGTTTATAAATGTTAAAAACGATAATTACAAGTTTTGGTGATAAATGCCTAACCAATTATTATAAGCTTTGATAAATGCCTAACATATAATTATAAGTGCTGAAAAATGCCAAAACCCATAATTACTAGCTTTGGTGGTAAATGCTTAACCTATTATTATGAGCTTTGATGATGAATGCCTAACCCATAATTATAAGTGTTGGTAAATGCCTAACCAATTATGATAGGTTGCCTCACCCATAATTATAAATGTTGACAAATGCCAAAAACCAACATTATTAGCTTTGCTGATGAATACCTAACCCATTATTATAAGTGTTGGTAAATGCCATACCAAAAACTATAATCTTTGGTAATTGTAGGCTTTGTTAATAAATGCCTAGATTATTTATTACAAGTATCAAATTTAGCCATTTCTATTCACTAGTCTCTTTGCAATTTAACATCAGCAACACATTTTTCATTCATCAATTGAGAAATTAAACATTAATCAACAATGTCATGTGAAACATTAGTGAAAAGAAACCAACAAGAAAATAAATTAATATTTCAGTTATTGTATTTAGACGAGAGATTTCAAAGACACAAATCCATTAATTATAAAAGGAATAAAATATGAAGAATTTGCTTTCACTTTATCTATCTTTATTCTTTTGATCAAGTGCGTATGTGGCACTTTTATGCCACTGTGATTCCAATGTTAAGGCTCATTATCTACATAATCTATAGATGAGCAAAATGTCTTCAATTTTTATTTTTTAATACTTAAATTCATGCAAGACAAGGTTCAAGAGCCAGCAAAATTGGATCTTCATTCTCACAAAAAACAGAGTTACAAAAAGATGTTTTTTTTCCATTGACACCATTATTATTTTTACTATTTTTTGTACTTCAGCAATGTTTATTGTTTTAAAAAGCTATGATTATAATTGTACTAAAAAAAATATAATGAAAGTGATTTTATACATTTTTCTGTGTTCTTGAGAATTTAAAATAAAAATATTAAATACTATATATTTATTTACAATAATAATTTTATATTTACTATATTCTTAAAACTAATACATTTAAAACCAATGCAATATTTATCAATTTATAAAGAAATAAATATGAAAACAATTCTTTATTCATAAATTTCTAAATATTTACTAAATTATTAAAATGTGAGCCAACTATAAGGAAATCTTTATTATTTACCGTTTTATAAAGTTTGAATAAATCTATAAGAATACATTTTTATAGTGAAATTATCCAACAATGCATTTTATCTGTAGTTGAAGGCATGCAATTGCATTCAAAATTATATTTAGTTGACGTCATAAAACTGAGTTCAAAATATTTAGATTTTGGAATTAAATTACCCATAGAAGTTGATATGCTGTAAAACAAAATCAACCACACAACCAACATAAAAGAATGCTTTCATGATATTACTGCATATAATTGTTTGATTTCTTTAAGAAATTGTCCCTACAATTTCCTAAAGAAATCAAGCTGTATTTCAAAATATAACTTCAACAAAACTACAACATAAAACACACATATCAATGCTTCTATTAATTATATTCACACAAACATGTATATGCACAAAAGCTGAGTATCATCTACCATGTATTCAATTGTGAAAGCAGAATAACATATATTTATATATTTATTACTTCCAAGCTCAAAAAAAAAATTAAATTTCAGCATGAAATGACCCATTAGGAATTGATATGCCATTAAACAAACAAGCAATAATTCTTTGTGGCAGAAATCTGTCTCTTATGAAAAAAATATATACCAGCCAAATTATATAAAAACAATTATTTAAACAGCTTTATTTTTCTTATAAGCCCTATTTTTATTAGATATATTTTAGAAGCCAATAAACCCTGGTTTTTAATATCTTTGGCTCCCTGAAGAGGGATAAAGATGACATTTTGTCAGCTTTACATGCGAGAATGGTAACTGATCAGATGGGAATTAACTTTGCAAATTGTTTTATCCAAACAAAAGTGGGCTGGCGACTATTTATGAAAGGGAGTGAATATTAATGAAATCATCTGTTTCTTTGTTGAAGCAAATAAACAAAATTGTCAAAATATTATACTTGTATATAATGAGAATCCCAATCTAGGTTTGGCTTTTGAATTTAGTATCAAATTTCCCAGGTTCTGTGCAAATAAATATAGTAAAGAAGGTCTCTCCATAAAGTAGCCAGCTGTTTAATAGCAACAGAAAAAAAAATGCTTACCTAGGGTAACGACACCTTAGTCCCTTCAAAGTAATATTCTGGGATTACCATCAGCAGCCTTGTCTCATTCTTCTTTCTTCTTAATGTTATCCACGGTTTGAAATCCCTTTCTGTTTAATGCCAATTTCAGTTTTGGGGAACACCAAAACTTGTCAAGAGCTAAATCTGAACTGCAGGGAGGGTGCTGAAAAGTGATATGATGCTTTGCCAAAAACAAACTTGCATGAGATATCATTGTGAATGTGAAGATCAAGTATTTAACCAATGGAGATAAAAAGTATATG